TGCTATGCTATGAAAAACATCATTGTTTCCTTACATGGTCTAATGTTTACAGAACCTTATATGGAAATTAGTTAAATTGTGAATTAATTAAAATCAATGTTAGTACTTCATATGACTTATATATGGTATATGTGTAGATAGGTATTAGTTCGATGGATATAAAATTACCTCAAAATTATATACACACGCACGGGCACACACATACAGATACACATACACACGCACGCTCACACACACACACATATATATACAGCCTTCAGTTCATTTATGATGTTACAAAGAGTTTTGTTTGTATCTCGCTCAACTGCGCCTCACATATATTAATCAAGGGTTTGCAGTCTGGGGAGTTAGGTGGCCAGATGTAAAGGGTGATGTAGTTGCAGAAATTGTCTGCCATAACTGAATTCTTCTGCTTGTAAGGCATGCTGCAGAGTCCTGTTGCCAGACATCAGACACCAGATATTTCACTACCTGCTCAAGGCACTTAATATAGGCCTCCGTGTTGTGTCTGACGCCTTATAGGAAGATGAATGGAGTCATAACATCCCCAACACTAGTGATCACTCCAGATACCTTCGTAATCACCATTAGACTCATCCAACTCTTTCTGAATTCTCTCCACTGTCCTCGGATTGACACCCTATCACTGTGAAATGTGCGTATTGGAGCTTCCGGTGCGAATGCTAAGCAGTACAGCATGCCGTTTACAAATTTCTGGTAGAGTGAATTGCGTTTTCTCACAGACCGTACCCAACTAACCCTACTATACTCTGCAGTCGACTAATTCAAAATCAAACAACGCGCATGCGCGAAATTAAAAATATAAAATGGCGACAATTTATCCATCGCATCCTGTATATATGTACACACGCACACATATATATATATATATAAAACATTATTTCAAAATTATATAACTATATGTGCACACACACGCATATATATATATATATATATATATATATATATATATATATATATATATATATATATATATATATATATATTTATTTATGTGACTATAAATGTTGTATTTATTGGATACGCTGGTTCGTGAACAGTAGAAAAGATATACCCGTGTAACGCGCAATCTTGCGTATCGTGCGACCCCAAATTTCCACTAATAAAAATGATTTTATCATGTATCTCGTGTATCATTCCTTTTTGGAGACGTCAAATTACAATCGACTCACCTCTTTTCCCTTATCTCTTTATCCCATCTTCTAGTTAAATAAGTTAAAAATTAAAAGAGAATGCTAAAAAAAGTATCATTGCATCAACGCGTACAGACATAAACAACCGAATGAGAAACAGCTAAACATCGTATAAACGTAAACAATGGAAAAGATTCATATTCGCTACGTTTATATTTTATAATACGATACTAATGTGTGAATATTACATGCATTATTATTGGATACTGTAAAGTAAAACATCAATTTTATCAAAATCATGTTTTTATTTTAGATACCGCTGTACATTTTGACTACAGAAATGTATATATAGTTTAGTAAACGGCGAAGCCTCGGCCACCTGTACATATGCTAATTTGATATCTCGTGTGTGATGCAACCCCCTTAAAATTAGCTTCAAATTTAGGTCTTCAAATGTCGCATGATACGCGGGAATATATGATATTGAATATATATATATATATATATATATATATATATATATATATATATATATATATGACAGACTAATAGCGGGTAATCAAAGGACAAAATAAAAAAATACAATTTAGGGTTATTTATAAACATAAAATGTAAAACAGTATCTGGTGTTTATCGTATTACATTTCCCAGGCTTATCTATATATATATATAACTGTAGCCTCTGTTTGTTTGTTATCGAACTCCGCCTAGGCAAGAAATGAAATATATTTATCCAAGTACCCTGGGTAATGTTTCAGAATATATATGTTTAGGAGGCTTTTGGTAAAAAACAGACAGAGGCTACAACATTATATATTATATATATGATTGCCACTTTACAGAAGACAACCTTCTCTTCTTATTTTAAAATGAAGAATTGTTTGATCAGTAAGTATAAAATGATCTTCAAAGGGTAAAAATAAAAATAAAAAAGGATGAAATATGATAAAAAGAATCACTGGCATTTGCAATAAAAAGAATAACACCCTGTTAAGAAAGCTTTAAAACAAAATACAGTCAGTTTACATTTATGATAGTGACTGCAATATACAGTACATTGCCACGTTCATGTGCACGCAAGCGGCTCTTTAACCCTGCTGCACTCATACAAACTTGCTTTCTTACAGATAAAGGGTGTAATGAGAATTTTGAATGGTATCTTGTCTTGATGAAGTCTATTAGTGTGCCTCATCAAGAAAAATAACTAATATATTCATATATATATATATATATATATATATATATATATATATAAGTAACTGATATCTATGTATGTGTGTATATATATATATATATACATTATATATATATTTACAAATAACTAGTATATATATATATATATATATATATATATTTTACAAAAACTATCTGATATATATATATATATGAATATATGTATATATATGTGTATATTTACAACTGATATATATTATGTACATATCTGTAATTAACTGATATATATGTATAAATTTTGTTAATTACAAATATGTATATGTATATATATACATACATATACATATTTATAATTAACTGATATATATATATATATATATATGTGTGTGTGTGTGTGAGTATGCGGGGGAGGAGACATAGAATCGTTCCTTTCCCAACAGCATAGTACGAAGTTAAGACATAGAAAAAATTCGAATTCAGTTGTTCAATACTGTTTTCCGTGTTAAACGTGTTTGTCAATTGCAGCGTTAGTTAAATTTAAATACACAAACAGTGGGTTTTATATAGACTCCCTTAGACAAGAAATGGAGTTTGTCTATATTCAGTTTGTGTCGCTTCTTACTTGAGTCAATGGATTTTGTAGATCGTGACATTAAATAAACGCGTTGCGATGAAAAGTAATGTTAATTTTTTTTTTTTTTTAATAAAATATGTTTCTAAATAAACTGCCTCTTAATGTATCATCTACTTCGAATGCCCCCCCCCACCTACCTTCTACAGGTCGAACCACACTGTAAAAAAAAAAAAAATACCGGGAAAATACAGTACACGTGCTGGTGCTAAACTCGCATTACCACACATGTTCATACACGTACACACGAGTATTGGTCTATGTGGCCTCATATAAAGGTCGACACTGATATGACGAATTAATTGTTCTTTTTTTGCCGCATCGGCTCGCTTTTTATATTCGTGTGTGTGTGCGCGCGCGCACATTCACACACACAGATATTCACACATACAACTCGCGCACATACATTGACTCATATGTGCTCGTGTATAACGGGCACACTCACGCATAGATTTAGTTGCATGCACTTAGGTTTAAATAACAAACAATTCTATATGCGCACACATTTATCAATACACATACGCACACAAACACACACACACACACACACACACACACACACATATATATATATATATATATATATATATATATATATATATATATAAAATAAATCGATAGAGATAATTCTCTGATACGAACTTGCACGAGCGTGCGCTGGCTCGCTCATACACGCAATATATATATAGTGATTTTCTAAGCGTAGCTAAGATGTGGCACAAAGGCCGAAATTAGGGGGCACCAAGTGAGGATCGAACTCACTACTCAGTTGTAATTGTTCTAGCGAGCCAAGCTTGCTAACCATTACACACGCAACATATATATATATAGAAACATATAAAAAACTACACATTCAGTTAAAGTACATCCTTGAAAATGTCTAACAGAATAACTGAAAGCGCTCATAGTTGCAGAACATTTGAACAATTTTTATGTCCAGAAAAAGAAACACTTATACGAACATAAAAAAAATTAAATAAATAGCTTAATCGCAATACTTTGTCAGTCGTATTTAATGAAATTTTCTCTTATATATATATATATATATATATATATATATATATATATATATATATATATATATATATATATATATATAATAAAAAGTCAATGTCAGGCTGCGGCTGCTGTTAGCTGACAACTCCTGATCATGACATATTTCTAAGATAATAATTTCTAATTTTTTCTGTCTTTCGCTCTGTTTGAATTTAACACAGGTCATATTCGATTGATGGTTCAGGGTAAAGTCCTTATTATGATGGTTTTTTTTTTAAAAAAAAGGATTTATTTTGCTTCTGAGACTAATTTAATCGTTCACTCGCTAGTAATTTATAATCGCCTGTGGAGACTCATTGTTATGCGTTGAAACACGACTGCAATTGTGTAGCAATTTTTATGTTTTTACTGTAATATCATGAAATAAATAATATTACACTACAATGTCTTAAGCCCTATTTTAAATTATATATATATATATATATATATATATATATATATATATAGTTTTAATTTGAAAGACTGTTTTTGAAGCCAAAATTGCTGAGTTTTCATTGATTTGCTGGTAAGGAGGTATTTAGGGCATGCAGGCTTTATAGAGAGTGCTCGATATCGAAGACAGAGATAAAGCGTTATTAGAAGCAGTTTAACTCTGTTCTGACGAGTTGTTATATGTTTATGAGTTAAAGTACTCAATACCATCGATAATGCATGTGTAAATTTAAAAGTGGAGATTGAAGTCAACACCCAGAGGAGAAAGTCTGTTTCATGCTAAACATCAATTGACAATTGCGTTTAACTGGGAGCAGACTGTTGCTTCTGGGTGTTGACTTTTTTGTCCACTTTCATATATATATATATATATATATATATATATATATCCTCAACGTTAACATGATTCGGAGTTTCATGCATAATTCAATCGTAAGGTGCTGAGGTAATACAGATCGTTACATAATTTAGATTTTATCAAATCTGTTTTTTTATCGCAATGATTTTTATTGAAGAAAAAAAACAACAAATTATAAATATATGCATATACTTACTAGAATATTTTGGTGGGTCGTTTGGTGGTCGCGTGATTGACGTGTTAACGCTTCCAAAATCTACAAGAACTCCGAAAATTACAATGAAAATTCCTTGTACAGTTATTAAAAACAAACTGAGTTTTCCGCGGAACCACGTCATTTTAGCTCGTTTTGGTCCTCCAGTCTTTCAGAATGAACACTTCTCTCTTATGCCAGTTTAACCTCACACCAACGAATGGTTTAAAGTCTAGAAAAAATAAAGTAAAAAAAAAAGAAATCGTCAATGGAAATATATAGACGCTGTAAAATATTCAAAACTTTTTCGAAATAAATTCAAATATCTGACGCATTTCTTCTTCGTTTTTCTACGCAGTCTTTACTTATTTCCGATTTGTCGGCGTTAAAATCACTGACTACTCTCTCGGCATAGATGTAATTTTGTTTAGAAAGAGGAATATATTCTTAAAGATTTACTCTTATACAGAAACATGGGTATATTATCAATCAATATATCTATTTTAAACATAAAAAACTACAAAAATATTAATGTTAATTTTAATCGAGTTTACAAGCAAAGCAATAAAGCACAAGAGGTTACTGGGCGTGGAAGTATTAGAAACAGAAACATTGTGAGAAAAGGGGAAGAGTAATCAGGGGGATAGCGAATAGCGATTGCATTGCATTTATATTTTGCAGATTTTTGTAGATTTAAGAGCATTTTCTATAATAACACATATAAGGGTTTGAAGTGTTTTTTGCATAATACTATATGTCATATATATATATTAATATATATATATATATATATATATATATATATATATATATATATATATATATATATATATATTAGTATATATATATATGTATATATGACATGACATATATATATATATATATATATATATATATATATATATATATATATATATATATATAGTTGTATTACAGGGTTACAAACTAATGTCTATACAACTGTATACGTTAAATCTATCACATATATTGAGCACTTTCCACTAAGTACCTGCATATATATATATATATATATATATGTGTGTGTGTGTGTGTGTGTGTGTGTGTGTGTATTAAAAAATAAAATCATTCTTGACAATGGCTAAAAGTATAGCCGAAAGCACTTGGAATTATAGAACCTTTGAACAGTTTCTACACCCACTACGTCCCAAAAAAAAGCACTTGTTCGAAAACAAGAAAAATTAAATAAAAAGTACTACTACTCGTAGTATCTTGCCTGTCGTATTTAATGAAACGTGTATAAATGAAGGATTGCTGCCTAAATACACTTCATTTACATATATATATATATATATATATATATATATATATATATATATATATCAGAGAGAGAGAGTGCCGCGGTTATATTATTTACGAATTTCAATTTAGTCTGGCAGAAGCCTGCAGAAATGTTGCCTTAAGTTAGGATCGAACTCACTACTCTCTCTATTGCACGAGATATCTGTAAAAAATTTCGTCGAAAAGGCTGTTTTCTCCAATGCGTTATATTAGGCCCTTTAACCGGGCATCAGATGTTATTTACAACACTTAGGATGCCACAAGGTCACTGCAGTAGGGCACGTATTACTCTAGTTAAATAATTTGCGAAACTTTATTCATTACGCACGGTATACAACCTGTTTATTAATTATACTAATATGTGACAGTGCTGAAAAATTCTAAGCCTGACTAAGAAGGGATTTTAAAGTTTGGATAGACGGCAGTGTGTTACCTTTTCAGCACCTTCTTGTTTTCGATAATTTATGCAATGTTACAAAATACTTTTTAACTATTTTCCCATAGTATTATTTGTGGCATTAGCCTCCGCAAAAATCTAACTTCTATTACGGGATAGAAATATAGAAATTAACTGATTTTTTTGTACCAGTAATTGAATTTTATATGTGGCTATGCAAAGATACGTATAATCGTAATACTATTGTGTATGTATCGATTGAGAATAGATGAAGAACATTTAAACCTAAGGTTGAAAAAAAAAATAGTCGAAGCATATTACTGTAGCTGTTTAGTAAAAAAAAAAAAATCAGACCACAAACCTCAGCGCTCAGCGTCACCACAGGTAAAGATCCCAGCATAAACCAGCTGACATATGAGTTTACCTGTCATTAAGATTACATTCAGGCCATGTGGAACGTTATATATAGAGAGGTGACACCTGTGTATGGAAGCCTATATGTGCAATCAAACGTAAATCTTTTTCATAAATGAGTTTATATATAGTTTAGTCGCGGTTAAGTAAACTGACGTATTTTTTTATCAGTACAACAATCAGTGAACCGACTATGAATTCCATTTGTACCTTTGCGCTAATGTAAGAAGAGGAAAGGCATGAAACTGCCTCTCCCTGCGTCCCTTTTTATAGTCAAATATCTAAATCTAGTCTTTTGCGCTCACTTCCGCATAAATAACCTCGAGGAAGATATGAATCTATCACTTCTCCTTCCAGGTATTGGTTAAATCGTAGGGTAGATTGGTGTCTCTAGCCTTGGGTGGTAGCCTGTTTAAGAGAAAGACTACTTTAAATTCCAAATCGCGGAAAAAGCAACGGAAAACCACTTCAATATCTTTCCCAAGACCTGATAATTTATAGATGTTAAAAACAAGAAACTCTAGTGAACCATGAAAGAACATATTTGAAATTATTAATAATTATATGATACAACAATGTTATTCACTACAAAATAGACTAAGTCCGACCGTTATTTTAATACGTTTTATTGTGATACGTTATTTATATATGCACAAATATTTAAGTAAATGTTCTGTTTATAATAAACAGTATTAAGAACATTTACCTGCCTGAAAGTCCGAGAAATTTCATAAAGGGAAATCATGGGAAATTTGTAGTTTAAAAGCAGTAAAATCGATCTTGCGAACCAGACGCTCCTTCATAGCTAAACTGGTATGGCATGTCAGGCTATATGACGATTCAGGTAGTAGTATACAGGTTCGATTCCTCTCGGAGGACGCATATTTTCTATGAAATTTCTCAGATGTTCAACCCGGTAAATGTTGGTTATACTGTTTATTATAAAGAGAGTATTTATTTAAATATCTGTGTATATATAAATAACGTATAACAATAAAATATATTAAAACAGTGTTATTGTTTAAGCACCGTTACTATGAAGACATTATTATCTGAGTGCGGATGTTAAATGATTTTAATCTAATTTAAAAATTATCGGCATTATTACGTTTGTATGCTTTGCCGATGTCACCCTCAAGTTTCATTCAGTGGGTAGAAAGTGTGAATCTGTTATTAAATAATTTCAAGGCATTAGTATCATGACGGAAGAATGTAATATTCAACTATAATTATTTTATCTTTGCAAGGATGCTCTTAACTAATTTGACGCATGTGAATGAGAGTTCGTTTTCGTCAATATCAGAACGTAATACGTTACCTACATAAGTACTAACACAGTCGATAAATTAAGGTGGTAGTTGCAAGAGTAATATATGCTGTAGAAGCAACATAATTATTAAAATACATCAAGAATGAATAATATTTCTAGATACACTGACTTAATATTTGACGACTGGGATTAGTAAAAAATATATTAAATATGATAAAAATAATAAATGGAGATATTAAAAGCAATATTTAATAGGAAAACGAAGAGGAAAGAAAAAGGAGAAAATGTATAATTAGTTGTAAATCGAAAAGAGAATTAAAAATAGCTAAAATAATCGCTTGAGGAGGAAATGAAACTATTGTCTTTAATTTAATTACAAAATTAAATTCGGGGCTTTTAGCTTCCATTTTTGAAACATGGTTAGAACTGTGTAGCGGAAAAAACATATTTTAAATCAATTAATTTATAATATTAATGCTCTGTAAATTTACATAGAGCACTATTTTGTAAAAATAAAAATATCTATATGAACACTGGATTATATATCTTACTGTTCTTTCTTTATTATATATATATATATATATATATATATATATATATATATATATATATATATATATAAACTGTTGTAGCGTACCTACGGACGATAATGGATATGTCCGCATTCACATAAATACAGTAGTAAATACTGTATGTTGGTATGCCATTGGAGCTTCGTCTCCAGCTGTGCAGGTCAAACTCTCTGCCTCCGGGCAGTGAGGATCCCAAGACGAGGCTATGACGAAAGGCAGAGTCTTGTCTCGGGAAACAGCTACCGGATATATACGAGGACTACTGGGAATTATTGGCCGAGCCTACGAGCTCGGATACTCCTCATTAAATTCTGCTTTGTGCCACATCTGACCGCGTGGGGTGGCTGGTAGTTATTCTGCAATTGGAGATTCATTGTGAAATTCACTTCTCGCAGTTGACTACACTTCTAGTAGTTGACTTCTACGCGCCGCTGGCGAATCTTATATGTGTTGTTCTTGTCCTAAGTATTATCATTCATTACCAACCTTCGTGCGATTATTATATTCAGTAACCTTCCCTAGGTTACAACAATAACCATCAAAGGTAAACAACATTCAGACTCGAAAACCACTCCTACTGTTTTACAGAGTGGGCCTTTATATAAATATATATATATATATATATATATATATATATATCAGTCAGTTATGTGCCATGCGTGATACACGTTTAGGCGATCATGTATCTTTCGATACATGACCCACGAAGCAGATTTTTTTCCCGCAGTAGTTTGCCATTTCTTTCTGTGTTAGACTAGTTGACATCCAAGGTTATAGAACCCGGTCTGTCCTGATATTTACTCATAGCTGGGGTGCGAAGAAGAGGATTCATACCGTTCCCAAGAGTATTAGCACGTAAGGGAATGTAATGGATTCGAATGGAATTCGAACTCGGCTCTCCGTATCCTCAATCCGAACTGCTATCCACTACTCCACGGTAATTTCAAAAATAGATGTACTCATACAAATTATTAAATACTCCTTATCGAATTTTTGTTGTTTTATACTTGCTTGTAACCTTTCACTGATTCTACTTATACAGTCAACGTCGCACTGATATGTAAAACCATAAATAACTGAACTCATCTGTTGAGAAGGCGAGACATCCTTACACATTGATCATGCCATTGGCTGGACATGTTTACACTATTTACATTGTCCAGACTGTTGTCCTTATCTTTATTGTCCTATTCCCAACGTTTCGGCCGTTGTACGCCACGGCCTTCTTCAGGTGATCTACGTTGGAAATTTGAACAGAACCCTACCATTGGATTGTTCTAATTCCATGTGTCATGCTTTTTTTTTTCTTTTTTTTTGGGGGGGGGTAGCAATTATAGGTATTTCCCGTTAGTAACTAAACTCTCAAAGTTTTTGTTCTCCTCTGCTGTGGTCAGGAATTGAACTCACAACTCTTTGGCTCAGGTGGCTGGATTATCGACACTTTTATCCACTGTGACACGTGTACAACGGCCGAAACGTCGTAAATATGACAATAAATATGAGGGCAATAGTCTGAACAATGTAAATAATTACAATACCTCATCTCAAAAATATAGACAGATATTGATTGGAGATACAGATAATACAGGTATTGATAGATAAATAATAATTTCGAATTGTTATAAATGTATGTAGTAAATCTCGTGCTAACATTGATAATCCGCCGTAGACAGTAATAAAGGTGGCACTTTTTCAAACGATTTAGTTTATCAGCATTGAACTGTACAATTTTATCATGGATGGTTGATTGTAAAATATCGAAAAGATATCTATTACACTTTGTAACAAAATTTTGATTTGTTTTGTCTTTGATCAGTAAATATGCTTTCTTAATTACTTCTGTTTAGAAAATAAAGAAGTTGACCATTAATCTCTTGACACTTTGCTTTTGTTATCTGAACATCAATGCTTTGGAAGTAACCTATTTTCCATTACATTCCAGACAGATTTAAATCTGAGTTGCAGAAGGAAAATATTCTAGGATTTTTAAGAAGTTTCAAGAATTTTTAGAACTTTCTGGCAACATAGAAGCAAGTATAAATACTAGCAACATAAGCTCAACAGTTCAGTTTACTTCTAGCTATCCAAATACAGACAAGTCGTCATTAATAGAATGCGTCTGCTGAATGCTTACAACCTCTTGAGGTCACAGATGACCTCAAGAGGTTGTAAGCATTCAGCAGACGCATTTTACTATATCTGTGGCATCCTCTGCTAAAATCTCTGAGGCCTACAAGGCGTATTTCGGCATGCCTGTTGGGTTATCAAGACAAACTATGAGCAGCTATTCTAGAGGGTAAGATGGAAGGTTTTGCTTTTCTGGATAGTGGAACGTTTAAGTCTAAAAGTTAAAAAAAAATAATTTAATAATTTTATATTTTTATTTTTTAAACCAGTGCTATTGAAAACTGTATGGAATATGTTTCAACAATCTCGCATTAGTGTCAACAGTATCATGGATGGTTTAGTTTGTTTTGTTTTGTTTTACGGCTTATCAACCTCATCGGGTTATTTAATGCCGACAAGATTTTTATTGCTCGTATCATTTTTTTTCCAAAAATGTATTGCTGGTAATTTTTTTTAATTACATTTTTATAGTGTTTTGACCCCAGTTTGGGGGTTAACTATTTACCCATAGCTGGGACTCTAACGGGTGCTACCCCCCCCCCGGGTCAGGGTGGATCTGGGAACACCAGCAATTAAGAGGTGGTTCCACGCTCCTCAAAACCTCCTTATCATGGATGTTTTCTATACTGGATCACTGGCAAGAGGCATGAGAATACAGAATATTAGGGTATTCAAGATTCTGTTTTTTTGTGGCATTTGCTACATTAATTGGGGTCCAAAGTCAGAATTTTTCCGTGGCCGGACATTTGGCCAAACGGACATTTAGCCGACGGACATTTCACCGAAAAAGTACAAGTAAAAATAGTAACAAGCAATACTTTAAGTATTTTAATTAACAGTATTATAAGGTTGAATCGGACTAATACTTAGCACTGAATTTCAAGTGATTAAATGACTAAATCTAAATTTAAAGTTAAAAGTTTTCTTATTTCAATATTTGTTTATTGAAATTGCTATTTGTAAAAATATTTGAGTGTATTTGTGCAAAAAATAGAACCTAATTATTTAAACTCGTAT